CTTGGTAACTGCAACTGACTGCATGTTTTTGACCCCTGGCACGTTTGTGCCGAGGTCCTTTGACTCTAGATTTGCCTGCTAGTCGAGCCGGCTTCAGAGAACTCCTAAGACGTCGTTTCTTTCTGGGAAACCATCTGCAAAGAAGGCGGCGCAGGCGAGTGCAAACAGAGACAGTGCCAGTCGACTTCTTGGACTCCTCCCATGGTGTGAAAGGATGCTGCTTAGGCAAATGCAGATCAGGTACCTCATGCATAAAACAAGAGGCAGGTGCCAAGGCAGAATCTAGGCAATGTCCAGCAAAAGCCCATGCGAAGGCAATTCCATGACCCCATACACGGAACGCAGCCAGGGCGGCAAGCCAAACAAAAGCTAGATCATTTCCTTTGATAGTGCGAACTCCTTGAAGCTGATGGCTCACAGCTGAGCAATCACCCCGAGCTCGGCCAAGTGAAGACTTTTCCATCCTCAAGAATGGCAGCAAATGCATGATAGTTTGAGTATAGCTGCACTGCCTTCGCTGGCGCCTTGGCAGGATCTCCTCCCAGTCGAGGGTTTCCCCAGGTCAGCACAGACTTGTCCCAAGCAATCGCAGCAAAGGCGGAGCTGGACGCTCTTACTTGGACAATGTCCACCAAGTCCCGATACCTTTTGCAGCCTCAGTGAAGAGAACCGACCCCGTGCATCCCAAGCATGCAGAAAAACAAATGTATTTAAAGAAACACATATATAAATATATGCATATATGTATATGTATATATGTGCATATATATATATATAGGTATATGTTCACAGAGAGATGACATAGACCTTAGTGATTTCAGCGTTCGTTTTGCAACTACTAAGACTTAGTCACCAGAGCTCGGTATGTATATAATCTAACGTGTCTCAACGTTCTGAGAAAATTCAGGTCTGATGAGTCTGATGTGCAAGTGTTGTCGGGTCCTAAGGTTGAAGCTATGCTTGCCGTCACCCCAAACCACAACTCTGCCATCGCATCGCAGCAAAGCAAACGACAAGCTCCCCGGCACCACTTCGGCTCGCCGTAGCATGGCCCTCAAGGTGTCTTCGTTGTTCAATGAGGCCTCACTCAGTGTCATCCATCTGTCCAGAATCACGCCAGAACCGCTGATGAGACACTGGATTCCAGCATGAAGCTGATCCTGCGCTCTTCGCATCAAGTCTGAGACAGAAGAGTCTAAGTCAATCTCAATGTTGACCTCCTTCCCACTCAAAGTCGCTATTCTCAAAGATATGGACATGAGGCATGAGGCAGTGAGGCACGGGGGTTCTGCTAAGGCACCAAAGGAAAAATCATTAACCTCCAAAGACCGGATAAGAGCGACATCGTTTTCAAGCGGGCTTTGCAGAATTCTGGCAACTGGCTTGGTTTGAGTACTTCGCATGCAATGACGTGCAAGAAGCAGTATCTAGAATCCATGACCATCTCCCTCGTTTGTTAACGTCACTAATTTATCATCTGTCAGTTGCCCTCACCTGGTTGCAAACAAATTTGCTTTCCTGACTGTCACTTTGTCTGGGGCCCAGGTTGCCAGTGAGCGACGAAAGGAACCGGTTCAGAGACCCAGGTACACAGGACTGTTACACCTGAAACTGGCTTCAACTGGTGCTGAACAACCTAAAAAGCGGATGCTGTGAGACATCCTAGTAATATCCAAGCACCCCCTTAGAGTGATGGGTGTGGGAATTTGGATCGCTGACATTGTTTTGGCTGGCATCAGCTGTCCACAGAATGAAAGCAAATCTCAACAAGCACAGCAAGGTGAAGACTGTGATATGGAGTAATTGAACATCATGAGCAAGGGTTGGTATTGCCAAGCAGCCTCTCCCCCGTTCCAATCACAGTGTTTTTCTACAGTTTGTGGTTTGCTGGGTATTTCGAGATAAGCTCTGGGTCCAACATACCATGTATAAAATAGTTTTTCCCCTTGGTGCCCCAACTGCGTGCATGCGCACTGCGCATACAGTGTTTGACTTGTGCTGAGCTCTCTTGGTGAGGAGTTGTGGTTGCAAAAATGGATCGAGAACTCCAGTGTGACCACCACTGCTTGCAGTCAGCCTTTTTCGACTCTTTAGGTCCATTTGCCCCGCAGTATTCGATCTAGGCGGGACGAGGTGTAGCCACGGTCGTCCACCGCATCCTCATTATCAAACTCATCTTCCTCAAGCTCTCGCTGGCTTCTCTGTCCATTTGCCCGTGGATCAGCTTCCTGATCAGTTTCAACGATCCCCAGCTCGGCTAAATGCCACTCAATTGTGTCCACACTGGTTTTGCTTCCACCCCAGTCTTCAAGACCTTGCACTTGCTTCACACATTCCTTATCCTTGTAGATGATGACCGTTGGTGTCAGTGCATCCGGGAAGTCTGGAATGATCTCAGATGCAATACCTTTCAAGAACTTCACCATGGGAAAACGTCTCGCTGCTTTGGCCCAAGGTTCCATCATGGGATGACACATGAAGTTGGCCTTGGAAGATTCTTTGCTCACATAAGTGACAACAGTCCCACTAGGATCATCTAGAGTTCAAAAGCCACTCCCTAAAAAGGCCCTAAAAGTAGTAGACCAAAAACGTTGAGCAAGTAATTCCTCCATGCGTACATCTGTGTAGAGCAACAGTAGGACCCATTGACCTCCGGCACTGGCTTCAGTCACTTCCTGCACATAGCTCGCACGGCACAGCTGCCGCAGTTCGCCAAAACGCGCGGACGCAGCGGCCTTGAGATCCGCGAGGCGTCGGCGTCGATACCTCGGAGAATCCGTTGCACTATGAAACAAACTGTCCGTGGTTTGAGCTCATGCGTTGAGCTCCAAAACAAGTATATAACAAGAATCAATGCGTGCAGTTTTATGCTTTGTGCTTTGTGCGATTTGGCTGTTCCATGCTGCAATGCAGCGGGTTCTACTAGCGTACCAGTAGTTGGAATTTGATGGTGGCCGACTGATTGTGGTGATAGCCGTGAGCCAATGGCATGTCATGGCTGGGAAGATGAGGCTAGAAACTGATTCTTAATGGGGAGAAGTAATCAGGTTTGATAACAAGGCCATCCACAGTAGCACCCCATCAAACATGTGGAAGACATGGGGGGTACACAATCAAAACAAAGTCATTGATGCCAAGCCCGAGTGCTGTTGCAAAAAGTCATCGTTGACCTCATCTTCAGCTGCATCGAGCTCTTCCAACGTGCGGTTTTCCAATGGGTCGAATCTTTCCTCAGTTTTCTGGCAGGGCTACAGGTGTTGAGCGGAGAAAGAGTTCGGCAGCGACGAAAAGGAACTAGATGAGAAACCTGTTGCTTTCGACTTTTTGGGGCGAAGGGTTCGCAGCCCAGGTTCAGCTATCTCCACTAGGGATTGCTCAACAACTCTCTGAGGCACTTCCTTCTCCAAGGGTGGCAAATTGCCAAACTTCCTCTGGATGTCGTCCCATTCTGTGGTGTCACCTGGGCACATCGCCATGGCAGCTGGGCGCCGTGTCACGGCGGAGCGCGGCCCGAGTGAGGGCACGTCTCAAAGACGTCTTGGCGATGATGTCACGAAGGAAAAAACAATCACACCAAAATTCCTTGGTGAACAAGCCAAGTCTGACACTCTTGTCCCATGTCCATTGGAATGACTGATTGACACTGATTGATACCCACAAGCTGCTGCCCTTGCGCAACAATCTACACTAAACCCTCCCATTGAGCAGGATGTCACAAGAAATTGCAATCACATGTGTGGAAGCTTACACTCATGCCGCAACGGTTCTCTCACTTCCAGCGCAAGCACCCCTTTCTTGGCACTCCATCAAGCAGCTCCTTCACTGATTACCCGGGTAGGCCTTGATTAATGGGTTGACAACGCCAACCACTACTACGGCATAGATCAAAGCAGCCCCTAGGACTGCAAAAAGTCCTTGGGCAAGGACAGGGTTGTCGGAGAAGAAGCCAACAACACTAGATAATGGAACTATTGCACCAATGTTCTGCTTGATGCTATCCGGCGGAATTGTCAAGACGCCTGGATTCTTTTGAATAATGTCACGTGCCTCCTTTTGGCCAAGCTCTCCTGTCAAAGCTTCTGCAGATGCTTGGATTTGCTCTGGCAGGAACACCATGAGCGCTAGGTTCTTCTCGATGGCTTTAAGTCCCTGTGCTTCGCCACCAGCAGCGGAAGAAATGGCCTGAAAGGTCTCCCGTACTTGTCCCTCGGTTTTGGGACCTAAATAGCTCCGACGCCACTTCGGTTGCTTCTCCTCCAGAAACTGCAGGGCTTCACGCTCCGCAACGGACCACCCAGATTTGTCTTCCTCCATATATGCGTGGCGCGCCAGTGAAATTCTGGAAGTAGGTGGAATGAACTCGGGCGATGTACACAATCCACTCTGGATGAAGCAGTGCCTAGATTCTTTCCATTGGGGGGATCCTGACAGCCATAGCAGCACAAAAATGCCCAGAGCCAACAAAGAGCTGATGGCCGGGCCTTGCCGCCTTTTTCTGAACAATGCTTGAGCCATGAATCCCCTGACGTGCACAAATCCAGGCCACCAAGGACACGTGTACTTCTGCTTCGGGGATGGGAGATTGGCCTGCAACCTCACGAGAGCACCGCACCACAAAAAGAAACGAAATCGGCACAACGCAGATCCAAGCACCAGCAAAAAGAGGAAACACACGAAGACACAGGTCGGAGCAAGCTTTGGCGAAGACCAAGTAGGACCAGTAGGACGACACCAGGCAGGAACACAGCAAGTAGTGGCAATAAGTTACACGGAGACACTTAACAGGTCTGTATGGGAGGCAATCGCCTGCTCAGAGTGTGATAGTGATACCAGTGATGCCAGTGTGTCAGAGTGTGTGTGGAGGCTGTTTTTAAACAAAACCTATGAGATCGTGTCTCTGCTTGTCAGGGAGCTGGGCCTTCCTCTCCCTCAATTTATGGGCTCGGTATTTCTCCGGTAGCCTCTCGGCCTCTAAATGCACTCTAGGCGCCTCTAATTCCCAAAGCACTCTAAATGCCGCTAGTCCTTTGCAGGGTTGTAGGCACCTAAATGCATCTACAAGCTCTATGTAAACACCGCTATGTAATTCTATGTGCTTCGCACAAAGCCTTTCTGAGCCATAGTTTGATATCTCTAGGGGCAATCTGGTCACGTACTTAGATATTGTTGTGGCAGAAGGCAAAGCAACTTTCAGAGACTGGAGCCAACCCGGCCTCTCTGCTCAATGAAAACCCAACTTTCTGGATGCCCCGTCGTTGTCGACAAATATCGACAAATAAATACAAATATATAACCCATCCTCTCTGGACAAGCACCTGTCCTCTTCATTGAACCTCTACTTCTTAAACACTCCTATGCTTCGTGGATTAGCATCTCTCTCTCTCTCTCTCGAACGTCTCATTGAGGTACACCTCTCTCAATTGCCCTCACTTTCTAACAGTGTTCCATTTCGGGGCGGAACCTCAGACATTCCTGTCTACGCATCTGGAAGCTTCATTGAGCCTGTCGCTAACACCCTCCGTCCAAATAAGCACGCCTCTCTTCTTAATCAAACCTCTCCTTCCCACACGCTCGAATCTGCCAATAGGTCATTGCCTTTGGAGGCTTAGGCGCTCTTGGTCACTTTTCGGTTTTAGGGGCTTGGGCACTTTTAGGCCGCTTAAGGGTTTTGCATTTTGCTGAATTTTTAGAGGCTTCGGCGCCTTGGGCATGTTTGGAGGCTAAGCCGCTTGGGGCTTGACTCAAGTCTTGCAATGCTTGGACAGGTCAATAAGGTCCAAATGCGTTAAGCTGTTTACAAAGCATCACGTCGTGACAGGATGCAAGTCATCAGCACCATTTGCACCTCACCAGACATTGAGCAAGCAAAAGTTAAGATCCCTCAAACCCAAAAATCACGACCCATTTGTCTCAAGAAGCTCCGCACTTGTCTCTCCGAAATCCGACTTGTCGATGCTTTCTTTCAAGCTGTTTAAGCCGGTCGCTATCAGGGTCAATGGATCCGAGAGAGAGCCCAAAACCTCCGCCTGGCAGTAGCGACTTCCACGGTTGACAAATAGCATGGCTTTCAACTGAGAAAATGGCAGCCTCTTGTAGAACCGTTTCTCTAGCGCCCAGGTGCGAAGACCAACATGGTCCATTGGTTTAAGCATGTCAGCATGACCAGCTCGGCCCGGGAGAGGGTTGGCTCTTTGGCCAGGCGTTGCGCTAAGAAGGGCTGATGATGCAAAAGATGTTCCTTGGAACTTTGGGCTGATAATGCACTCCTTCACAAACAGCAACATCTCCAGCAATTCTTGCTAAGTATCCGAAATATGCCACCAGTCCTTGGACTGAAATTCGCCGGCGCTCATACCAAAGGATGAATCATGAGGAATGATGAGGAACCATGAAACCCGCCAAACAAGCGTCCAAATCCTCTTCACCCTCTTTCGCCTCCACCTCAAGTGCCAGGATGGCTTCGCTCAAATTTCCTCGCTTCAATCCCCACAGCACCACTTGCCAGCGCTCGATGATACCTAACAATGCTTGGCGGACCGTCAACCGTCAACGACGCTCGAGCAGTCATGCAGTGGGACAGCTAAGACCAATTTTCCCCGCATTTGTTCTAAACAACTACCCATGTTTTCCCAAGCTCAGCTTGGAGAGTGCATGTCATTTTCATTTTACAACATGCGGAATCATCAATAGAAAGGTCCAGCACAAAGAGGAAGCACATTCGGCTCATTTGGATTTCAAAAAAGGATATTGATGTATGAAATACTTGTCTCAGCTGCTTGGTGGAATCCAGCTGAACTTCTCCCACTCCTCGCCGCCGCTGCAATAATAGACCTCAGTCTCGGCCTCTGCGGTAGAAGCATGCCCCAGGTGCGGCAGCCCCCTTGCTTTGCTCCATATGTTCTTCAAAGAGTCTATCGTGTTCTTGCATGTGTGCAGTCAACTTGAGCTTGTCAACAGTTGTTCGCATTGCAGGTGAGTGGCATGGAACTTCAGAAGGCTGTCTGTGATGGAAGCCAGCTCCTGCCAACCAAACTGTTGAGAAGTTTCGGCCATGAGTGGGAGTTTGCAAGTCATGGGTCAGGCATGCTAGAAATGCCTGGACAAACAAGCTACCAGACCAGTATTGAGTCAATGATTGTGGCGCATTCAATCCCGTCCAGGTACAGCTGAAATTCGTGGTTGCATCATATCGCACAAGGAAGAACAAACAGCCCAAGCCCGGTCCAGGCTGCTCTTGGAAGCATAGGCTGCCAGTGTCTCCTGAGGCTCAACGGATGGCACCCACGCAAAATCTGGCTTTTCCTCTTCCGAGAAGCGAACATTGAGCAACCAGGCGCTCCATCAGAACACTGCAATCAAAGCAGCCATCCAAACACTTTGGTCGCAGTCCACTGCTGTACACTTGCCCTGGCAATGCTTTGCTACTACAGTAAATCAAGACAAAAACGATCAGGCACATTGTCACATGCAGCGCCTTCCACGGGTTCCAAAGTCATGATCGGTTTGAACATGAACAACTTGCAAATGTCGATTCATGACCTCGCAAGTGTTCGTGATGAAAGGTCATCTTCTCGACAATGTCCCAGCCATCATAACCTTGCGGGCTCGTTACGCATCTCTCTGTCCCTCTCTCTCTCTCTCTCTCTTTCTCTCTCTTCTCCAGAGTCTGACTCTCATACAGTCGTCCTACAGGCACACTCGGATGGTGAAAAGCCTACATACAAAGAGGGTTCGTGGCAATGGATCACAAGTGACTGAATCCCTGAGGGGTTTTCAGCATGAGGCAGGGAAGGCCAGCAAATTCTGCAAGTCGTGCAGAATATAGTATCGTGAGCATGTTCTACTTCTAAAAGACTGGCAGCCAGCAAATGACAAGCACATCCTTGGTCGCTTCCAAAAGGCTGTATCTCTTCGCAGGGACGCCACTGACGAGCAATCGGAGCTCAAGTGTGCCGAAGTTGCAGAAAGTCTGAGAAGGGATTCTGAAGTTGAAGGGCTCACCAAATGAAAGCAAAGCTAAATTTGCGGGATCTGCCGGCAAGAACTCATGTGCATCTATTCCAAACAAGTAATGCTCTCCCTTCAGGCCTGCTTCAGCAAGACCCCAGGGGCATAGTCATAGAACTGCTCCCATACATGTGGCAGAGCGAACTTTACCTGAAGAGGCAGCCGAGACTTGACGACAGTCTGAGAGGGAAAAAGGACTAAAAAATCTATAAATAATAGATCGAAGAAAAAAGAATATAAAGATGTAGAAAAGAAACAGCTGAGAAAAGGACGGGGGCCTTCCTTTTTTCGCCTTAGACTGAACCCTGCGTTTCCACACGAATGGCAGTTGGAGCCATGGACCATGGAGACTTGGGCAACAGGTGGTTGAAGCCTCAAACCTTCCTTAAGGAGTACTCAGCCCAGACACGCCGATGGCGCACAGGTCATCGAGGGATTGCCAATCCCAGGAAAAAGGAAACAAAATTGGTTGTTTATGATCTTTCTTTACAATTTAACATGCACTTCCTGCATTCACACCCTGTAGCTGTCAAAGGTGCCAAGCGTGAACTTTGCGACACTTCCACCAAAATGAGTACATGCTCTGCGCGTTGAACTCAACACATGCGGACACGGTCGCATGTACATAAGTAAATAGATGAGCGATTGACATAACACTTAGTTTTGCTAGTTTAGTATCCACCAACCCTCAGCCCCAATGGCAAACCACCTGTCAAGGCTGTCGTGGAACACTCTCTTTGACTGGGGCACCAGGGAGCTTTCGGGCTGCAGTGCTTGGATGGCTTGCCACTGCACCTCCTGGTCCTGTACCTTGTCGAAGTGCTCGTCATCGGTGAGGGCCACCCCGCGGATGTCAGAGATCATGAGTAATCGCTTTCCATTCGTCATTTCCCGAATCATAGGGATGTCCTCTTCAACATTGAAGCAACGCACATAGAAGCTAAAGTTGCTGCCGTCCTCAAGGGCTACAGCGGCTACAATCCGACAGAATGAACAAAAGATTGAAATCCGTCATGCCGTGAGGAGAATGCAAGACAGAAGAAAGCCGAAAAATCGCAACCCGCAACAGCTCTGGTACTTTTCATCTGGTTCAATTCCACTTGGTTAAGTTGACGAGGTTGCCCTTCAGTATCCTGATTCCACCGCTGCGCACAATTCCAGACCCAACTTCTGGAACCCGTGTAGAACTTGTCCAAAGGATCAAAGGCAACCACTGTGAGATGCGGGAAGAACTCATCCCGCAGAAAGCGGAAGCGCTCACCGTTGCCAACGCCCAAATAGACGACCGCCCAATCGCGCGAAGAGTCTTTGGACATGTGAGAGCTGAGGAAAAAAAGCTCAACTTCCGTTAGCTTCAAGGATCCATTCCTCGCATTGGTTGCCGAATCTATGTGCTGGGAGTACTCTATAATTGCAACTGGCACATAAACGCTATGTGAAGCTATCAGTCGTTCATGTGCTAACCACTGCCCACCCGGCAAACCTAGAAAGGCCGGCTATTCCAAACATGTCCCCCACAAGGCTCGATTGCCATACAAGTCTCTTGTAAAATGTGTTGTAGTCACAGCACTTGTAAAGGTGCTTGCACCTGCCGAAAGCCTTCTCACGCGCTGCATCGTGGCCACGTTGGATCTTGGGTTCCAGGGCAAGCGTCCTGGCCCCAAACCAGCCAAGAGAAAACTTGAGGCCAAGAGGGGGCGAAAGCTAGCGCTCCAGAATGGGAAAGTGGAGGGCAGCGAGGTAGGAAAAAACACGGCGCTCTTTTTGGAGGCAGGGGTGAAGAGTCCTTTATATGTGGCTCTTTGCCCGGATCCTCCTGCGAGAGAAGAGAGAGAAGAGAGACGGAAAGACGAGAGACAGAGAGGAGAGAGAGAGAGAGAGGAGAGAGAGATGAGAGAGATGAGAAAGAGATGAGAGAGATGAGAGAGACAGTGAGACAGTGAGACAGTGAGAGAGTGAGAGTGAGAGTGAGCGAGTGCGGCCGCAAGATACGCAACGCTAACCGCATGCCAAAGAGCGACGACAGGACGGAGTCGAACTTGCGAAGAGGGAGGAGGGAGGGAGGGAAGATGGGAGGAAGACAAGGCGGAGGAGAGGGGGGACGGTGGGGAGAGGGGAGGTGGGGAGAGGGGAGAAGGGGGGGGGGGGGTGGGGGGGGGTCTTCGACCTGAAAAATCAGGGGTTAGGATTTGCACCCGGTCGAAAGAAACCTTGCTATCGCAAGAGTAACTCCAGCTAGCTTCGCTAGCTTTCGTGACTTGGATCTCAGAACGCCTTAAATAGAGTCACAGGTGTACATAGAAGTGAGGGGAATAGTTGTAAATCTACTGTGAACCTGCAGGCCAGCGGTAACAAAGGCACTAACAACTACCAATTGAAACCATCAAGAGGGCGAGCGAGCACAATCCATAGCCATACTCTCAAGGCCCACATTCAAGAACCAAACGGGCACAGCAACCTCGAACATAGGTGAGGCTCCACCACAAAATATGAATATATAGTTCAAATAACTATTGGACAGTTCTGGTCCTGTCCACTTTGGGCCACGGGCGCACAGGTGAACCCACATTCAGCCCACTCCTCAACTCAACGCGGAGATCGGGGCATAGATGAACACAGCAAAAGGAAGAATCTGCATAAGTCAAAGCACAAAGCTGCAAAAAATATTTCCAAATCATCAAATGTCAAAGCTCTTGTCAGCTTCCAGCTGGGACCACCGATAATGCAACCGTCCATGGGCCATGACAAGCGTCCATCTGAATGATCTCTCCCTCCCCTTTAGCGAGCTGGGATGATTTGGTAAGAAGGCGCCTAAAGATCCGCCCAAAAAATTACACCAGCATAGACCCAGATAGCTAGGCAGAATCCCACGACCTGTTGACATGCGACTGGCTGAAACAAGAATAGACGCAGCCTACTTACGGCACCTCCACAGCGCGCGCGATCAGCTGACACCCGCACCGGTGCCCTTTGCCAGCTGACAACACCGGCAGCGGCGCCAGCACCCGACCAGCGCCGCCGCCCGTCTTAAACGCGCGCTTGGCCAGCTCACAGCACCAGCAACCAGGACCACAGCACCAGCACCGACACCCTGTTGAAAGCGCGCGCAGCCAGCTCATTTTTATTTGCAGCAAGAAGCCCCATGGCTATCCCTGTTTGGGGAATAACAACGTATGATCTTGCACGTATAAGTTTGTGCGCAGAAAAGTATTTGCGCTAACAGCAAAGCCCATACAGTAAGTATCATTGGCCCAAGGCCAAGCAGTATCCAGCGCCACTGTTGATTTTGTAGCATGCTTGAAGCAACGATCTGCAGAATGATAAGGCCGTATGATCTTGCGCGTACAAGTTTATGCGCACAAAAGTATGCGCACAAACGGCAAAGCCCGTAGGCTTCACTCGCCCAAGGCCAAGCAATATCCAGCACGACTATTGTGTGTGTAGCATGCTGAAACAATGGTCGGTTGAGAGCCTGACGCTGCGCATAGAACATTATACGTACGAAAGTATGCGCGCAAACAGTACAGCCCTTGACACAGCTGTCGGCCAAAACAGAGCCTGAAGAGTGTAAATACCCCACAGCGCTAATAGACAAAGAACGCTCAAGCGACAACACCGTATGATGTTGCGTGCATAAGTTCATGCGGCCCATGACTGCGGGCACTTCATTGTCAGAAGCGGTGCCTGGTCGCCCTTCACTGCTGCAAGCGGCGGTTTGTTACCCTTCACTGTCAGAACCGGCGCTTTTTATAACTTCACTGTCAGAAGCGGGCACCAGCACCAAGCACCGGCATGCCAGCTCACGGCGCCCCGCACCAGCACCCAGCGCCGGTGTACCCAGCACCCAGCACCAGCACCCGGCACCCAGCACCCGCACCCAGCACCCGGCACCAGCAACCTGTCTCCACCACGTGCACAGCCAGCTCACAGCACCAGCGCCGGCACCCCGCACCACCACCACCACCACCAGCACCAGCAACCTGTCTCCACCACGTGTGCACAGCCAGCTCACAGCACCATCACCAGCACCGGCACCCAGCACCACCCAGCACCAGCACTGGCACCCGGCACCAGCACCAGCAACCTGTCTCCACCACGTGCACAGCCAGCTCACAGCACCAGCACCAGCGCCGGCAGCCGGCACCCAACACCACCACTAGCACCAGCAACCTGCCTCCACCACGTGCACAGCCAGCTCACGCACCGGCGCCCGGCACCCAGCACCAGCACCAGCAACCTGCCTCCACCACGTGCACAGCCAGCTTACAGCACCAGCACCAGCACCGGCGCCCAGCACCAGCAACCTGTCTCGAAAGCGCGCACGGGCAACTCATTGTTATTTGAAGTAAGAACCCTATACTATAGCTTCGCTATCTGGGGAAAAAGTTGTTAATTAATATGATTCAGAATGTTGCGTTCCAAACGAATCGAGGTAGCAAGCGGAAGCTGTCAGCAAGCTAAATGCCAGTAGGCCAGTAGGTCTTGTGCACATGTCACCTCCCTAAATGTCCGCCAGTTGTGAGGAATAGACTTGACCACCAGTTAAAGGCGCAAGAAGTGCCCAACAGCGTCAGCCAAGTTTAACCGTTGCCACACCGCGTGTTTTGACCAGCTGCACCCAGACCATACCACATAGCTCTAGAAAAAAAGACAGTTTTGTATGCTTTGTAAAGATGAAATCTTGGCGAGCTTGACTTGTTTGCAGGCCAAAGGTTCCGCCAAATGTCATGAGGTTGGAACTTGAAACTGATGAACATCTATTAAGTTTGGACGCCAAAGACCCTGGCCTCTTTGAGGTAGGTTGTTTTGCTTTGGCAACTTCAGTGTACATCGTATGTCCAACCCGCTGCAGTGCCACGCTTGGTAGGTCAAAGAGTCAGAAGCCGCTCGGTGCCTTTTTCTGCTTCTCGGGTTGGAGCAGCTCTGCCGATTGGCACACTGTGTTCAACAGACGGTTGGGCCCGAGAAGAACTGCTCGGCTCGGTTGAATCGGAGCTGCTTGGCAGCATCCCTACTGAAAAGGCACGGCTAAGAACAGGAACTTTGAGGAATCGGTGGTCTCTTCTGGTGTCTTTTCCACACATACACCGCCTAGAACGCCCATTCAAATCTCAGTTGCAACTCCCAAACCTGCCTACCCTCTTACTCACCAACATGGAAGTGGATAACCCCCCGTTTGCAAAGCAAAATTGGTCTTCCTATGCCTATGCCATCCACTTCCATGAACGTGAGCCAGAGTGTAACCATCAAATCTATCGCAGGCGTGCATCACCGAAGCTTCTTTACTTGGAGTACACGGAAGTAGCCTTCTTGCGGATCATGGATGACCTGGGTGGCCATTCCAAAGGAAAGGAACAAATAGATCAACACTGCTCCAATGAAGACTGGATACTTCGTCCTTCTCAAAGGCGAAGCCTTTGGCCTCTTGGATTTCAAGGAAGGGAAATAATTCGATTTGTATGCATCAACATCAACGTGGGTGGAAAAGAGCCTTCACCGCACAGTACATGGCGGAAACATCGTCCAGGGCACCACACACCTCGGAACCAGTTGATGCTTCTAATCCTCCTGAGGTACAGACTAGGCCGTCACAAAAACTGACAGCCGTGTGAATAAAGGTGAAGAGCAATCTAAGCATTGGGTGGCACGCACACTGATCAGTGCATCAGCCAAGCTTGGGCACTGTCACCAAAAGGCCAGCTGGTGCCAGCAAATGCTGGCACATCTCCATGAGGCCCTCAATCAATCTGCTGAATGAAGCATTGCCATAGCAATGTTCAAACGTAACAACTCCGTGTCACATAGTGCACATTTACAGGACAGCAATGGTTCTCATGTCTTCTTGGTCGTTCTTGGAATTCTGGACCTATACACAGTGGCTTCAAATGCTTTTTGTGCATTGCTCCTTGCATGACATGTCACAGCTCTAGTCGAACAAAAACAAAAGCGAAGGACATCTTCAAGGTAGCCTGGACATCCAAAGGCTCGCCGGCATGTAGGATTACATCGAAAGAGGGTGCCAGCAGCGAGGGCTTTAGCGCACGCATCGCACTGCCGCTGTCCTGCAATGATGCATGCAGCATCACAAGCCTTGTCGGTCTCTTGCTCAGCTCAGCGCTCTTGCTCTCAACTCGGAATCGCAGTGAGAAAAACCTTTCAACAACAGATCAAAAGCATGTGTGCAAAGCATGTTGATGGCTGCACCACAGCCACATGATGTATGTCAGTGTGTGAGTAACTCGCTTGCCATTTTGCTGGGTGTGCTTCCGCTGTGCCGGTCCCACTGCCATTGTCGTGCCAAGGCTTTCGCCCCGTTCAGCGATATCGGCAGCGTGTAAACATACACAGGCACCTGGTGAGAAGCATCTTCACAGAACAAACACTCGCGGCCTTCAGGCATCACCCTAAAATCCAAAAACATGTTGAAAATTCACAAAAGATCACATTGTTGGAAAACATGTTGTGCCGCGTTCTCTTCAATTTGGCACCAACTCTTTCCTCCATGTGTCCCTGGACCTCTTTTGCTCCGAGGCAGGCACTGACATACCGCTGAGTCCAGGAACTTGTGGGCGGCTCTTGCCTTTGCCCAGCAGCGAGGCATTTAGGCGGATCAGTCGGCAGGTGAGATCATCAGGCGCAGTGATCGTCATCGTCTTGGCATATGCTGAAGACCCTAAGCCAACCAGTCCAGCACCTCCGACAAATGGCCGATAGCGACTGCTGTTGCATTAGGTATGCCAAATTGAATATATTACCAGAGTGTGGTGACTGGAGTCGTGCACGTTCTTCTGTCTATATAGTTGCCCATTAGTTCTTGAGTCACTCACAAACCCAAAGGCCTGCGTTCACTTCTAACACGGCGTGGTTTGCCAGCAGCTGCGGCTGAGCTGCTAGAAGCCTGCTGAGTGCTCGTCGAGCAGGGTCTTGGCAGCGGCTGCTCTGCAGCTGCAACAGCCAAAGCTCCCCCAGTGCATTCCCCAAAGGATGCCGGCAAAGCAGCAGCTGCGAAGGCTGCGCACCTGGGCAGCAGCCGGATATCTGCTACACACGATAGGTGAATACAGTCCTGGCGCGGGCCAGGGTGGGCCCAAAAATGAACTTCATGTTAAGTTCATGTATCCAACTTATCCAACTCAGTTGTTCAAGAATGTTCCTCGACATCCGCAGCCTTTCGGTGGCCCAGGCCTTTCGCTGCTTGCACGGGACTCTGCGGCGGCGAGCTCGGCGGGTAGCCCTCACACGCGGTTCCAGGACTGGAGGGCGTCGAGGCCGGGCTGGAAGGAGCAACCTCAGTAAATCCACCAAAATGAGATGGACGGCCTCGGCAGCTCAGTGGCAGTCTTGCAGTGATTGGGGGAGGTTTCCTGTACCTTTCAGGCCCATACACCGCCTGTTTTTGCTTCCCAGCCTCTGGTAGTTCCATCAACCCGTGGCGCTGCCCCAAACGTTTGAGACGCCGCAGCAGGCAGCGCATCTCGAAATCTGGGCCCCAGCCGAAGCTGAGACGTAGAAAGCGCCATGCCTCAATTCGGCGAGCAAGTAAGAACACCTGCACCTGTAACTGTACGACGGTAGTAGCTAAAGGCTACTAGCAGGGGCATCGCTACTAGTAACAAAGGGCATCGCTAGTAGTAGCTAGAAGCTACTAGTAGCAGACATGTATTCGTAAGGAAGAAAGTTTGAACCGAAAAATGAAGATGCGGCCATTGACACCTCGCGGCTCTCTGCAGCTCTGTGCCAGGCGTGGCAGGCAGAGGCACTTCGCAGGAGGCAAACAGGAGAGCACCAAGTGAACACCTCCATACGGAGCGCGGGGCAACCTTTACGGACATATTAAATTGGCAATGCTTCAGTGTTTCCTTCAACTTACCCAAGAGTTCTCTCGCATTCCAAGGCATCGAAGCAAGTAGTCGTGATGTAGTTATTCTGTCAATGCCAATCTGGGATGTGCCTCTACCAAGCCAGCATGCCCACGAACATCTAACCTCAACAGGAATTCTGTTTGTTCCATCTCGCTCCTGTCTGCTTCAGGAGTGGCCAGCCAACACTGCCGGCGCAAAATTGACAGTCCCGCGCTTAGCTTATGAGGCCATAATTTCTTTGTGATCTTTGCGTGACAACGTCATTTCTGTCCGAGAGACAACCACCAAGGCGCGCGAAGCACATCTGTGACAAATTCCTTGGCCGCTTGCCTGGTTAGCACGGGGGGTTGCAAAACGATGAAGAGCTGACTGGTCTAGCAAAAGGAACACATGGATCCATGTATGTCCATCTTCCTGGATTTCAATTCACCCCACAAAAAGGTCCACAACAACTAGAGGAGCAAGGATGCTACTAGGAGCAAAGGGCATTGCTACTAGGAGCAAGGACGCTACTAGCGTCTCCTGGCCTTACTAGGAACAATGTTCGCTACAAGGAGCAAATGCGAGTTCTACCAGTTCCACCTCCAAGCAAGGCCGGCCCTCTGGTAGGCTTTCACCTCATCCTGTGGCAACGCAGCCAGGATTCGCCGCTGCAGGTCCGGTGCCTGGCTCTCAGAACGCACTTCAACCACTCTCATCGCACATCCTGTGTTTTGATGTCATGTGACAAACTTACGATTCTTTACAATTATATAACTTGCCACATTGCTCCGCCGCATGCTCCGAGTCATGTTAAGTTCACCCCGTAACTCTGGCAGGGCACCAGCAAAGACTGCGCTCCGGGCAAAGCTACAGTCTCAGGCTTTGGCAAGGAAGCTTCGGGAGCTTCTTGCCGGCACGTCCTGGGAAATAAGAATGGCACCAAAAGCCCACGGTCACACAGCGCTTAGAGGCCTTCCTTCTGGAACCGATGTCACGAGTTTTCTCTTCTAAGGCGTGTTCTGGGTCCAACCGTGCGCGCTCACATCTCGCAGGCAAACACAAACTTACCCTTGCCTACTACACGCCAGCTCACCCCAAAATACATGAGCAAAGGTTAGGCAGCGACGGCTTGCAACGCATGTTCTTGAGAAGCAGTAGGTTGATGAGTTTGCTGTCAGGTTGAGGGAGGACAGTTGGATCCCATCTTTCTGATTGACCGCATGGCCCAGCTCCTGCTGTGCTCCCGGAGGGCAGCCATCTGGTGCGCACGGCTGCAATAGCCGGCTCCGCATTGCGCACAAAGGTACCAGCGGCCTTCTCGCTGCACACCACAATGGCCACACAAAGCCTGGCTTGGCGAGGAACATGCTGCACCTCGTCTTCACGAGCAAGAGTGGTAGGGATACAAATAGTAACAAGAAGCTAGTAGAAACAGGTGCCAC